TAATTCAAACGGCTCCCTTTGGAGTGCACGCGGGAAGCACGAATGCACGATCGCCGATGCTTCAACGGGTTGGCACACGGCCAGACGCAAGGCCACGCCACATGCAAAACGCCCAGGGCTTACATATTTGTTCACCCTTCTCACAGCGAAGAGCCTTGCCGACGGTGGCAACGACCCCCGCAACCGAACCGTTCGAATCTTCTTGCACCTACAGAACAGAACTTTCCTTTTCATGTGGCAAGGATCATCATGCATCATCAACCAGCCAGAATGCCTTGTAAACTATATTCTCGAAGTGCATACAAGTCGCACACCATTACGCATAAGTGATCCACCCAGTGAAATGGTGGTCATTATGCGGTGTTGCGAACAGTAAACAATCGCGTGTGAAGAACGCATGATTGTTTGGCGTGATTGTTTCAATTTGGACGGTGCTTAAATGCGGCATAATCATACACTTCAACAACGCAAATAATGGATGAAAACTGACATAACAATCCTGCCATCAGGCCACGCCACACAGACGTAGAGAAGCCCTGATGTTTCATATCACAATGCAGTACAATCAGGAAACAAATAGGAATTGATAAAGTCCTCGCCAACACACACACCGTGCCCAAACACTGAATAGTCCATAGTAGAAACGGAATGACGACACCATAGTGCAGGCACCCATTGTGTATGAAGACCATTCCGCGGATGCCACAGTGTCCACTTTGCATCGCTATTTTGCCGTTTTAGTCTCATGCGGTTTACATGAACACCTTACGGCCCAAAATTTCACACAGCGGGGCTGCCATTTTCCGCAGCGCTTGCCACAGTTTGCCTCCCGTTTGATTCGCTTTTCTGAAAAATGTCGCACTTCTGCCCGCTCACTGGTTTGTGAAAAGATTTTTTGGGATTGGCATCCCAAATGAATGTGCCTTTGCGGCTCTTTTATATCGCACGTAATACAAACGGCTACCTATGTCCATTCTTCAGACGGATCAATGGTGTTGTGTTGCCAGTCGCCACTGTCAATCACGTGCGATTTTTTGAGCGGACTTGGCAGTCGACCAACAGCCACGTTAACACTACATTTGCTACTTAAGATACGCAATTTGTACACTAATTTCCAGCAACTTTGCACTGTTCATTCATCCACGCAGCAAGCAACTGCCCACTTCACAGAGTTTCATGCCATAATTAAACCGTGTAAAATAGAGCAGTTTTGGCCAGCCTCCTGATATCTGCATTGTGAAACACCCGGCTTATGCTGACTGCGACATGCACGTCACCTCCTACTGTCTGACGCCACCATTTTGGCGCAAATTTCTAGCCGCCAATGAGACGGCCTTCCAGTGTCCTGCACTTACTGGAGGCTTCTGTTGGCCTGTACCAGAGGCTCTCCCGGTGATCCTCGCAACCGGTGGTGGTTCTATGTGATTGTTGCCTGTAGCAAATTCTGTGCGCAACGGACGCCAGTGGTCGCATTCCTCAGAGAGAAAGGACCCATGCGATCTCGGGCAAAAAATCTTGTTTCGTTCTTGGGAACATGTACACCCACGTCTCAACCACGTGGCTCAATCCTGTCGAGTGCTCTTCGATCACGAGGGAGTTCCAGTCGTCAGTGGGGTGTGGAGAAAAGGGTTTGAAAGCAACTTGAGCATTTGCAGACGACGTGTTTGCATGTGGCGCTCGGCCAGATCAACTGTAGCTCAGGCATTCCAATTGTCGTCGTTGTTGTACTTGGGGTTAGGCTTTGTGGATATCGACACCAAGCAATCAACACAGTGATGGTAGATTACAGACAGTGCTGAGTACTGTGGTAGCACTGTAGACTAAGGGGCGTTTCGGTTTGTCGTTGGAGGGTTATTGTGAGCTGTCTGTCCGGGGGTCGCATCTTGTGCTCACAACGCCGGGCATTGCGGCGTCGAGAGCCAGCTCCCGTTCGGCCGTGCTCGGCGCGTTGTCCCAGCGTTCCAATCCACGTTGTCCCATCCCGACTTGGAAGGCGCAGCAGCAGCACTGCCGGTCCCCCTTGGACACAGTGCCCACCAAACTGGTTGAGCCGATCACGTGTTCACATCACCAGGGGTGGTAGGATTAGGGGAAAGTCATGATCCCATGATCCCCCCCCAAGGCAAACCACAGCACGTACTCCACCCTCCACAAGCTTACTGTACACTGTCGCACGAGTGCGATCGCTTGGCAAGGCCAGCCTCATGACACCTTGGGGGTGCACCGCTGGTACGCGCACCGCCTGGGCTGGTTGGGTGTCGGGGGCCGTACCAGACATCGTGTGAACTGCATGTTTGTCGGCAAGTCTTCCATCCCCTCGACCCGCCGGTGGGCAGCGACTTCCTATCGTGCTCCCCGGCCCTCCCGCTGCAGGCTCCTCGAGAACGCAGCGCGCGGCATGTCTAATCCTAATGGGCTCGTCCAACGATGCGCCACGGTCGCCCGGCCGCCTGGTCCTCGATTCTGCCGCTGCTCGTCACAAAGGCCGTTCGGCCGCCGCCGTGCGGTGCCTGTCCCGCTCCGTTGAGCAGCCAGCGGGTTGGAGCATATGGCCGAGATTGCGAGCGCGTTGCAGCGGCCAATTTGGCCAATTGGCAGCTCAGGGGCACAAAAGCCGGCGTCTCCGTGCCGGGCGTGGCCCGCAGGGTGGCAGGTTCGCGGCACGGGCAGCCTCGGTGACGGAGGGCGACGCACGCCCTCGCAGGGCAGTCGTGGGCGCACGTCCCGTTGTCGGGTGCGCTTGGGTTAGTTGACGGACATTTTGGCGCGGAAACTTGTTTTCAGATTGGAAGGCTTGCGTTCGCGTGACGTTCTTAGTCTGCTGCTGACGCCTGCCCCTTTGGGCTTTTGTCCGTTGCAAAGGATCCGCGCGGGCTTGAATGCCCAGGGGTTTCCATCCTGGCGCTGCCGTCTCCCGGCTCCCGCGCGCCACAAGCCGCCCGGTGCGAGCAGCTTCGCCGGCCGCGCGCCACAGCGCGGGACGTCCAAGCGCATGGCTTCGACATCGTGGTTCTGATCGCGAAGCCGCGCCCGTGTGCCCGATGCCGCGACGGGCAGAACGCGCCTCTGTCTTTCGCCTTGCTGGCTCGTTCAAACCTCGCCCGGGCTCATCGCCTCACAGCCCCCATGGTTGCCAATTCTGGATGCTCGGAGCGAGCACAAAAGGTGCAAATCTCAGGTGCGTGATGCGCGCCGCGCGGAGGTTGTTATGGTGGCGAACAAGAGAGGGGGGCCGCCAATTTTCCGCTTTCGTCCTGAACCTGCCGTGCAGAGGCTGCTATGTCCGAAGGCGGTCAGGATCGGTGGTCGCCGCGGAGACGTGCGACGAAAGACGTCGACGTCTCGCGCCAGTCAGGGTCGTCGGCCGACTCCCGTGGCTGCCCAGGACTCGGCGGCCAAGTCCCGACGCCCTGCTGAGAGTGCTGCTGGGGAATGCAATCGAACAGATCGTCGAACAGGCCACCCGCATTTGCGTCTTGTTTCGTTGCGCTGGGCTCTTGGCTTGTTGGCGCGGCCATCTGCGGCCCTTTGGTGATTGGACCAGCGCTCGTGCAGCAAGTGGCCGCAAGTGACGAGGGACTCTGTCTTGGCCCAGGCCCTCCCATTTTTATGTTTTCGGGGCCAATGAAATACAAGGATTCTCAACGCAACACAGGTGTGCGGAAATGCCCATAAAAGGAGACCATTAGAGCACCCACGGAGATGAGACAGCACCCAAGAGTCTTGGTCCGCAACGTCTCAAAAAGCGTGCAGGGCTCGGCTCCTTGAGGCCACCAGCGTCTGGTGTTGCAGAAATTGCAAGTCGCCAGCGCCAGGTGCTATCACATGAATGGGGCACTCTCCCAAAGTGGCAACAAACACTGAAGAATGGAGCTCCCTGTTTATTAGTGGCCCTGAGTTGGGCAGACACATTGTGGTCAATGCATCACCTTGAACACTATGCGACGCGTGACCTCACCCCCGTTGTGGATACACGCTGGTTTATAAGGATGCATTCACATTCATTCACTGAAGAATGCAGGCATTCAGTTTCTCTTCAGCTTGCATTGCTGTGCTGTTGAAAAGCACACAGCACACACATGCACAAAACCGGGCGGTTGCACGGGCACCATGCGCTGGGTACAATGTTGCTCGCTGCCATAGGCAGCGGCCACCAGCAGGGCACAGGTGTTGCTGGACCGCGCCCTGCAATCTGTGAGCATGCCCTGCCAAGGACGACTTGGAAGGTTGCCCTTGCAAACCACAGCACAGCACGACAATAACTGCAATACTCTTTTTCTGTTCGCTGTGCACTACCAATGGAGGTTCACCATCGCTTTGTGTGGTGTTGTCCTGCACAAGTTGTGCTTCACACCGACCCTGCTTGCTGAGGGGGCAGTACTTTACATAAAATTTGTGCCTGTTCTCTGCATCTTTGGTCATCATATGCAAACACTGAAATGGCCACGCCCCGTACGTTCTCCTTGGGCAGACAGCAAGAGGGCTGAATGTCGCGTCTGGAATACTTGCCACTCCAAATCACATGAACTGTCCCTCTTCACAATTCGCCAAAGATGGAAGATGTCGTGCACAGCCACTTCCACCTTTGGAACGGAATGCCTTCGCTCCTTTCACCACCACTTTTTCCTCTGCCCTGGCTGGCGAGGTGCCTTTGCATCCCTATCCTGTTGATCGTGTCCTCTTACTTGGGTTCTTCACCATTCAGGACAACACCCCTGGCTGCACAACAACAATCCAATGCACAGTTTTGAAGCGACACACCTACAACTAGACACTGCACTTAACTCTGGTTCACCCACTGCCTGGGGCTGGTGATGCAGTCCCTGATCATGAAGACACCCGCAGGGGCAGATGCTTTCCACCAGGCCTGGGCAGGTCCAATGCAGCACAAACGGTGGGGCTGCACATTGCAATTTCATGTTGTGGTATGGGCTCTGTTGTCGGGCAGCACCGCAGAAGTCCTCGGGCATGATCATTCCATCACTGCCACCTGGCCTACGTCACACCGAGATGTCCATGTCCTGTGTTGTAGCCTCTTGTGCCTCTACATCAGGGCGGCAGTTGAACAGCAAGTCCTTGATGACCTGCCCGGACAGTCCCTTCACTTGCTCGACCGCCATTTTGGACGTGTCGCGACATAACTTTGCCAGCTGGCTCTCCTCCTTCTTCTTGTCCATGGTCCCCATATAGCGGCTCAGCCTGTGCTGCACCTGGCTCTCTGCCTGCTCAAGCTTCTCTGCGATGTCAAATATCTGGCCAGTCACGAAATCTCTGCTGCCAATGAGCGTGGAGGATGACAAGGTGTTTACCCAGTATTTATTCCACAGCAGGTCCAAAATGTGTGAATCCAGACTGGATTTGAAGAATGAGACGTCAAGGCTGTAGTATTGCTTGGCATGCACGCCAAAGTCTTCTATCTTGCTGAGGGGGATGGTCTGGTACTCCGATGGGCCCTCATCCGGCGGCTTGTAGCCCTCAGGATATGTGCGAAATGCACCAATTTCCACCTTCCCAGACGTCATTGTCCGCACAGGATCGATAACGACGGCAAGCCATGGGTCCTGTCCCTGTTGGTTGATCATCTGGGTGGAAACATCGATGCCGGAGAGCCAGCATCCGTACCCTGGGTGGCTGTGGTACCAGCCAACAACATTCTCCTGCTGGTGTGAAAGTTGCTGCAAGGAAAAACCACAGGTGGATCAGCCGGGAGAGAATCTGTAGACAGTGATGTGTTTTTGCTGAGAGTAGCAGCACAACAGGAACCATCGCTGCAGTGACTGTGGAAATTTCGGCTCTGTTTCGGCAATGGTGACCACACCCCAAATACTCTTGTTGTGCTCTACATTCCTTTTCAGAAGAACTTGCC